GGTGGGCAGACAGAGCATCCGTCGATCTCATCACCGTGTCTTTGACTCACTCAAGGGAGATGAGGAGAAATTGAGGAAAATTAGAATGTGGGGAGGGGAAAGAAACTCATTGTCAGACAGGATTGTTTGTTCCTCTGGAGGGATAAAGCTGCAGGAGGGCTGGAGTTCGCTTCCTATGCAGAGAAATGACCAGAGGTAAGCTGGAAACATGATGAAATTTTCCATTTCCCTGGAATCTACAAAATACTTCTAAAGACTGAAAGTTTTTGAGGTGCATGAGCCTGGTTTGGGTGGGACATGCCAGGCCTAAGTACACCAAAATGGGTGCAGCCATGGCAGGGAGTAGCTTGGCTCTACTGTGTTAAGGCCATAAGCTTTTTACTGCCAAAATAAGAAGGGGATAAGCTCCATCAGCCTGTGTTCATGTAATCTGAACTGTTGTGTCAGATCTATGTTTAATTCTTTAATTGAAATGTGGGAGACAATTAATTAGACTAGAAATGAAAATTCTACAGCAAACCCAAGGCCTCATGCATTAGCAAATTGCTTGTGATGTTTCTTGAAAAGAAAACACAATGTTCTTTGGCTACCACCTTTATAGGAGAATTCCCAAATCCCCTTGTTTGCACTACGAAATTAAGAAAGCCATGATTTCTGAGAAATTCAAGTAATTTTTGGGTAGGTGATAACAGTTTTCCTAAAATGCTATCAGAAAAAATACAATATTGCACATGCAAGGTTCATTTTAGTGAACCTTAAATATATAGAAATGTTTATGTTATGTTCATGTCATTGAAGAGTTCAGAGGAGGTTATGGCTGACAGTAGAGCACAGATTAAAATGTACTGCAGACAGTTGAAAGCATTTTTGGTTAAAACTATTAGTATGAAAGAAATGCTGGAATCATTTCCACCCCTTTAGCTGCCATCAGCTATCCTTGCTCTAGAGAAGTTTTATCTCTGGAATGCATATACATAAACTAGCATTTTTGCTACTTTTGAAAATGAACTTTTTTTTTTTTTTTTAAATGCAGATGATTGTACCAAATTAAAAACATCCAAGTATTTATGAGGATGGGAAGGTACAGTTTTTGCTATTGAATCTTAATTCAAATCCATAATTATCAAATGTTGCAAAGTTTTTAACTATCTATGTATGTTCATCCAAGTCCCTATTACATCCCAGTCATTGCTAGTATTATCAGTATATTCAAAACAATAAATATTTAGAGCAAATGCACTTAATATAGTCTTGTTTGCTAATTACAACTCTATTCTTGACGGTGGCTATGAGACAATGCTATTGTTTAAAGTAATGAAGGTCCTTCCTCTTCTTGGTTTGCAAGAAGTGTTTATTTTACTACATATTTTAATGAACCACTGGAGCTATGCAGGCGAGGCTGGGATGTCTTAATTTTTTGAAGTCTTTAGAGTTAAATAATATTTTAACAAATATTTTTAAGAGAAAGACTAGTTCAATTGGCAGTGAACAGGCTGATGCAGAAATCATAGACTCATAGAATGGTTTGGGTTGGAAGGGATCTTAAAGATCGTCTAGTTCCAACCTCCCTGCCATGGGCAAAGACACCTTCCACTGGATTACGTTGCTCAAAGCCCCATCTAACCTGGCCTTGAACACTTCCAGGGAGGGGGCAGGCGCAGCCACACCTTCTCTGGGCAACCTTTTCCTTTTCCAGTGTCTCACCACCCTCACCGTAAAAAAATTCTGCCTAACATCTAATCTAAATCTCACCTCTTTCAGCTTTAAACTGTTACCCCTCATCCTACCACTACACTCCCTGGTAAAGCATCCCTCCTGATCTTCCCTGTAGGCCCCCTTGAAGTACTGGAAGGCCACTATAAGGTCTCCCCAGAACCTTCTCTTCTCCAGGCTGAACAACACCAACTCTCTCAGCCTGTCCTCATAACAGAGGTGCTCCAGCCACTGATCATCTTTGTGCCTCTCCTCTGGACTCACTCCAACAGGTCCATACCTTTCTTGTGCTGGGGGCCCCAGAGTTGGATGCAGTACTCCAGGTAGGGTCTCATGAGAGTGGAATGGAGGGGGAGAATCACCTCCCTTGACCTGCTGGCCACACTTCTTTTGCTGCAGCCCAGGATGCAATTGGCTTTGATGCTATTGGCTTTCTGGGCTGCAAAGGCACATTGCTAGGTCATGTTGAGCTTCTCGTCAACCAACACCCCCAAGTCCTTTTCTTCAGGACTGCTCTCAATCCATGCATTGCCCAGCCTGTATCTGTGCTTGGGATTGCCTTGACCCACGTGCAGGACCTTGCGCTTGGACTTGATGAACTTCATGATGTTCTCACTGGCCCACCTTTCAAGGCTGTCAAGGCCCCTCTGGATGGCCTCCCTTCCCTCCAGTGTGTCAGCTGCACCACACAGCTTGGTGTCATCAGCAAACTTGCTGAGTGTGTACTCAATCCCGCTGTCCATGTTGCTGACAAAGAAGTTAAATGGCACTGGTCCCAATACTTACCCCTGAAGGAGGCCACTTGTCACTGATCTCCACTCAAACATTGGGCCATTGACTGTGACTCTTTGAGTGTGAAAATCCAGCCAATTCGTTATCTGCTGAGTGGTCCATCTGTCAAATCCATGTCTCTCCAATTTAGAGACAAGGATGTCATGCTGGACAGTGTCAAATGCTTTGCGCAACTCCAGATAGATGACATCAGTTGCTCTTCCCTTATCCACCAACGCTGTAACCCTGTCATAGAAGGGCACCAAAACTGTCAGGCACAATTTGCCCTTACTGAAATCATGTTGGCTGTCACCAATCACCTTCTTATTTTCCATGTGCCCTAGCATAGTTTCCAGGAGGATCCGCTCCATGATCTTGCTGGCCGCAGAGGTGAGACTGTCCTGTAGTTCCCTGGGTCTTCTTTTTTTCCCTTTTTAAAAATGGGCTTTATGTTTCGCCTTTTACAGTGGGAACTTCACTGGACTGCCACGACTTCTCAAATAGGATGGGTAGTGGCTTAGCAACTTCATCATTCAATGAGGATAGACGACTTTTTGTTCTTAATCTACTGTGGTTGTCAGCACATTCTTACAAATCTCATTTTTGATGTGCCTGTTCATTCCTTAATGGTCTCAAAGGGCTGCATCTATGCTGCTCAAAAAAGGAAAGCCAAACATTGTAGTCAGGACCAAGATACAGCAACACACATCTGTGCTATCACAGCTATGTCTCTTAAATGTTTATCACTTCTCCAGCAGCTCAGTCTTGGAGAGAGCTGGTCCAACACAGAGCCAGAGAATGTTTGCAACCAGGCAAACATGAATGATGGGTCTAGTCCTTTAATTCCTTCACTGGCCTTCTTTTATTTGGCAGTATGGATATATCTACAGTGAATTGCAACAGATAAGAGCAGACAGTTTGGGTTACAGTCAGACATACATTTTCATAATGAATTGTAACTTTCTGCTGCGGTATTTTTCTTTCATGAGAAAAATATATTTAAAAAATCAGTCTTGGCCATTGTCACTTAAAAGAAATGTTTTGGTGCTTTATTATGATTTGGTCTTCCACTCACTATTTGTCATTTTTCATGTTATAACTACAGTTGAATTTCTTATATTAAAAGCAATTTACATTTTCTTGTAAATCACAGCAGAATGACAAAACATGGCTCTGACAAATGACATAATACTGACTGCATGTATTTTCTGTGAAGTGTGGTCTTTTGATACACAATCTTTATAGTCACATGTCCTTGCTGAACACCAGATAGCAATGTCTTCTGAAATCTGGTCAGTGTTGAACCTGAACCCCTTTTGCATGGGTGCTCAGAGAGTGAGGAATTCAAGGAAAACCCAGGAAACTCAGTATTCTTCATCAGTCAGTTTGTTGATTAATTGGATGCTGTTGACAAAGGTTTTGCGTATTTAATGCTTCACCTTCTCTGGGAAAGTTTGGGGCAAGTATCACAATTAAAAAATGGAGTTTCTATTTGGGCTCAACATCTAGTCTTCCATTTTAAAGGTTGATGTTAAAGTGGCACAACAACATTCCCTGTCACCTCAAACAGGCTGATGATATGAAAGTTAAGTGGGAAGAAAAAGAACTAAGAATACTGGGCAATAGTCATTGAATATTTTTTTTGCTTCTAGGCCAAACTCCTCATAAAAGAAAACCAAAGGAGATAAATATCAGCTTTCTCATACAGTGAGGAATATATATTCTCACAAATCAAGTGAACATTATGTTGTTAGTTCCTCAATATACTAAATATCAGATGGGATATGTTGGGAAAAGATAATTTAGATTGTTTTCACAAGTAAATAAGGCTTCCATGTTCATACAGTGTGTTAGTGTGCATGTCTGTCTGTCCTTCCTAATAACCTTTGAAACCATACAACAATTTCAGTTAAATCTGATGTAAATATATAGATCTTAAAGGTATTGCTTTTATTAAATGTTCAGTCAAACTAGATAGCTGGTTAGAAAAGAGTCTCTGTTATTCGGCCACTGAGGAAAAAGCTTCAGAGGGTGTCTGACCCTTCTGAGAAATGTGAAAGTCCCCACGTGTTGGGCTGGATGCAGGGGGAGGACCGTGTGATCATCTCAAGATCAGCTTTCATTAGAAATTTGCATCCTGTCACACATCTGCAAATACAAAAACCACAGACAACACCCCAGGAAACAGGATTCATTAGTTTGACTTTCTGTTGTACGTGCATTTCATAATTCCTTTATCAGATCTGTGATATTTCTTTACATTAAAAATATATGAAGCTGTTTCATATTAAGGATGAAAATTATTTTAGTTTGGTAAACTGGGCTTCTACAGTCCGTTCAAGGTTGAAGGGATTAAGCCACAAACTTTTCAAGGAAATGGTTTGCACTAAACAGGAGTGATAGCTGAAGATTCAATTTGTGCTAAACTTTTACATACTTCAGCCTTTCTAATAGTACTTCAAGTTTCCCAAGTTATCCCATATGTTCATTTTCAACACATTTCTCTGCATTTGCAGATAAGAGTCCCTCTGTTGCAATTAAAAGCAGACAACAAGCTACTCATGATATTAATAAACGACGGACCCTTTTGCAAGATAACAGCTGGATAAAGAAAAGGCCTGAAGAGGAAAGGTAAGAAAGATATGATTGACATTTATTCTGTATTTAGTTCAGTATGCCATGTATATTTTCTTGGAGTGTCTACTTTTTCATGAATGGTATCGACCAGAATTACGTAAAGTTAATCAAATAACTGTTATTTGTTTATCTTGATGAGGTATTGATTGCCTTTTGGAAGCATTTGTTTGCTGGACTTTTACTGAGTATGTTTTTCATTGGGGCTTTTGAGCACTGAGCATTTAATGAGATGTCAGGCTTCTGCACTACAAGAAAAATCCTACATTTCATATATTTAGGTTGCAAGAATATGATCTGACTTTTTTTTTTTACAAGCATGAAGATTATAAATTTTGGCAAGTTCTTTTAAGGAGCTTAAGTCAGAATCAGTTGAAATTTACTCTAATGCAAACTAGGACTTGTATTATAGTAGAAACTCCACCTTGACACCAGGCCCTCATTATCTGGTCCATTAACAGTACATAGGAAGAGAGAATCCTTGCTCCAAAATATCTGGAGTCATCTAGTGCAGAGATCTGTAGCTGGTGTGATTATGGCAGTAGCAGACAGCTGTGAAATCTGATGGAGGAAAGAAATCTTTTGCCAAGAAACAATTTTCTATTTTTAGTATTCAAATTTTAACTAACCACTATTTTTCTTTTGCTTGAAGTGCTGATGAAAACTATGGAAGGGCTGTGCTTAATCAATACAAATCCCAAGATAGCCTACACAGGTACAGTAGAGTCTCTGAATCACTGTTCTAATGATATTGCCAAAGAAAACTGAGTACCCTTTTACTCTATCCTGTTTATAGCAAGAGCTTGCTTTTTTCAGTTTTAGTCTATACATGTCTCCACTGTAAATCTGACTCCGATGTCAATAGTTGTTAAGTTGACCATTGCAGTGGTGCAGGGTTGGATCTGTTGACACCTGGATAGCCTGAAATCCTGTATGATACCTTAATTTGAGACTTATATATTGTTTTATTGGTGATGAGTTGTTTAATCAAAACAGTAACCAAAGTTGCATTTCTAATCTTTTTTATAGCAGTAGCACAAGTGAAAAGGAAGATCAGAAAGCTGTACTTGGACGATACAGGTCTGATACTACGTTGGACAGGTAGGGCTTTTTTCTATATGTATTTTGTGATTCTCAAACCTGTTGAGAGGTCTTAAAAATTAAAGCATGAATGAAATCAGTGAGTTTTTAAAATTTTGTTATTTATTAAGCTTCTAAATAGAAGACTTTGAATGATTTTTGCATGGCAGCAAATGGAAATGTGATTTGAGAAAAGGTTCTTTTGACATCTTGCTCTTCTTTTTCTGTATCAATTTTGGTGTATTCTTGTCCTCATAAATATAAGTATCTCTGCACAGATGACAACTACTCCTCCCCAAGTTCCTGTTTTTCAAACTTTAAGTCGAAGTGCTATCTCCAATAGTTAGGTGCAACACGGCTAAACTCCTAGTTCTTTGCAAATCCTTACTCATACTTCATACCATGATCAGTACAAATATCAGAATCATATGCTTATCATATAGGTGCTTAATTTGAATGTCCTTTTCAGCCTTGACCTCTGTTGAGTTAAGACATGATCATGTTTGTGTTTGCAGATTCTTTCTGCATTATGTCTTCAAAATTCAGGCCCCATTAACATCAGATATCCACAACATGCCAAGGCTATGAGCACCAGCACTCAAATAGACACTGTGGGAAAAGTGCACTCATTTGGCTGGATCTTAGCACTGTGTTATTTTGTTTAATGATCCTTACTTCTGTTGTAAGAAATACAAAAATTGTTATGCAAAATTTACCTTCATCATAGAAGTCTGGAACAGAATAAGCTACAGAGCTGTATGATATCATCCCTCCATTGATTCTTCTACAGGCCAGTGAACCTTGATGTATTTGTTCACTCATCACAAGGAAGCCATTCTGTAACTTCAATTCACCTGTTGCTCTTCTTTGTATCTTTTGTGTTTCCATATTGGTCTTTTTGATCTGGGTGTCCAAATCTCCATGCAGGTATTTAAGATGGGCAAACACCTTGTATATATAGAGGAGTATAATAATGGCTTCTGGTTCATTTCCTATTCCTTCCCTCATACCTCATATTGAACTTGCTCTTTTGAGTGCTGCTGAGAATTAAGCTTTCATTTTCACAACATTATCTATATAATTCCAAGACCTCTTTCCTGAGTGATAGTAGCTGGTTCTGAGATAAATTGTTTTTCTCAGCAGGCATTACTTTGTATTTAAGAAAAGTGAATGTCTTTTAGACATTAGACATGCCGTTTTAGAAATCTGACATGTTAGCAGTTGACTTCTGAAAGCCTTGCCAGTCAGCATATGTTTTGACTACCATGAGTTAGTGTCATTGGCAAGCAACATCATCTCACTCTCCTTCTTTTCCAGATGACTCATAAACATATGGAAAACCAGGTTCTTGTACAGATCCCTCCTTCCACTCTGAAAATAGTCGTTTATTCCAAACCTTTGATTCTCACTTTTTAAACAGTTATTTATGCATGAAGGACCTTCTCCATTACCACATAGGAGATCAGTTTATTTAAGAGACCCTAAAGCAAATTTCTGTGAAGCCCTTTGGAAATCCAAGTTGAATATATGAGCTATGTCATTCTTATCCACATGCTCATTGACTTAAAATAATTTTTAAGTCTTAGTTTTCATGCATGGTAGCCTTGATTAGAAGTGATAGGACAATTCCAGTTTCTACAGTGTCACTGAGCAGCATATCCTTTTGTTTTTTATCTATCTATGCCTTTTTGCTTTATGCTGATTCCAGTTTCTACAGTGTCACTGAGCAGCATTATCCTTTTGTTTCTTATCTATCTATGCCTTTTTGCTTTATGCTCAGATATTGTCTGAATTATTTTAGGTTGTAAGCTGACTGTCTTTGTGGTGTTTTTTTTTTAAAACACAAATACCTAACAGAAAAGGTTCTTAATATGCAACAAATGACAGAGAACGCAATGAATGGATTATAGGTGTGAATATGCACTTCTGATAACTGATGTGGAGTACGTCCATAAATGGAGTGAATAATGAAGGTTGTACCTTGAAATTATCACAATGAGGAGGTCAAAAGTTGTTTATTTTTCCTCACACATCACTGGTCTTCTCAAAACTGGAATATAGCCATTCCAGGATTAATTTGTGCACACCCATTGCCAGTAGGCACTTCTAATAAGGGATGACCACGTGTTCTGCATCTCCTCAAACTTGCAACCTAAGGCATAAAAGGGTGTGGTGGTGTATTTTCTCTTAGCACCTTTTTGTAGCCTGCAGTCAAATTTGGTACTTCTGCTTCTTCTGTAAAGGATATTTTCCACCAGGTACAATTCCCTTATTTTCTTATAAATTATTTCTGGCAAGCGTAACATAGTATAGAAGTCTCTAAGCTTAGAAAAGACCAGTTTGCAGAACAACTACGTTGTTTAGTTGCCTGTGTGGAAAAGAAGCATTCATTTTTAAATTTTTTTCTGTTCAAAACTAAAAGTCAGAGTTGAAAATGGGGAGTGTTCCTAGAATGTAGAATAAAGCCTAAAGGACTGCTCCTAGTAGACAGTTCTTGAGAAGAATTACCTTGGTATTGGAGATCTCTCAGAGATGTTTACAGAATTATTGTAAGTTATGTTGTCTATATGGAAAATAATTTTTGTCTAGCTAAGATGCTGCAAAATAGTAGTCTTCTATCCTGCAAAAGGTCTTTAGGAGTTACCTGTTTTCAAGCCAGATACTGGAATGAATGCCTTTCCACAATTCTGCTTTGCTTCTCTTCTGGCCATGACTGTAATATTCCAAAAGACAAGGAGTTAAAGAATTTGCATCCAGCTGGATGAACGTCTTTTCAATAGCTAGTTTTCAAAATGGGAAAATAGTAATTGAAATTCTAATTAAAAAAATCCAAACCAAAACATTTCACGAGTATAGGAGTAATTTTGAGTTCTTCATTGCATGTGTAAATGTGACAATAAACATACCTAAAAGCCATATTAAGTACAGCTTTTTGCTTCCTGGATACTTCCATATCCATGTTTGAAGAAGTTATTGTTTGATAGGAATTTTGCCTAACCCAATATCTACAAAATTTGAACATCACTTCCAGTATTAAGGACCTGGGAGAGACGTTGAAGATGACTACATGCAATTGCATCATTGACTGCGAACACAAGAAAATACCAAACAATGTTAAGTTGTTAACAGACATCCATAGCTTGATGGCAGTAGGTGCACATATACCTGTACTGGCATGTAGATCTACACATCATAATTCGGACAACAATTGCATTGTGCAGATGATCTTAGACAGCCTTTCTGGATGGGAGGAAAAAATTTTATTTATCCTTTTATTTCTCTCTTATTATTAGCAAATAACTAAATATTTGACAAAAGATGGGAGAAAACTTAAAAATCAGATAGTGATGATGAAAATTACATTGCTATTTTTCCAAGTACTAAAGGCTACTAAATCCAGAATAGCTTTCAGGAAGAATAAATCCTAACTGCATTTATAGCAATTAGATCTGAAGAGATGGAACTGAAGAAAATGAGAGACTTTAATTGTCCGCTTTATTAATAATCTAATCCTTTGGAATGGTAGAAATTATTAGAAAAGGAACTGAGAGCAAACCAGAAACCACTGTTCAGTCATGGTATGAACCTGTTTTGCACATCTTGAACACTGCATGCAGCATTTCACTTATGTGAAGAAACTACCATAGAACCAGAAAAAAATGAAGAGGAAGGTGAGAAAGGATGATCACAGGGATAGAATAGCTTTCATATGCGGAATGTCTGAAGGGACAAAGATCCCTCAGCTTGGAAAAGAGTGATACAGGGAAAGTAAATAAGGAAGGAGTATCTTCTGTTTGTTGCACTGTAAAAATGAGGAGATACTCTATAAAATGTTTAGGTAATGATTTAAAGAAAAATAAAGAAAAAAAGAACATTTGTTTTTGACTTAGCACTTATATGAATTGTAGGAGTCACCACCACAGGATATTGTGGAGGCCAGAAATTTAAATTGGTTCAGAAAAACGTTAGGTGGGTAACTGGATTATTGATCCAAAGGTGTCTGTTGGAGACAGCAACCTGGGTGCAAGCAGAAGATATTCTTTGACCACTGCTTATCAGAAGCTTAAAAGTTGCACAAGGATAAGTTAATATTATACTTGCCTTTCTTCTTTCACTTTTTTCAAAGCTTCTGCTACATTGGGCAGCAGTGGAGTAGGATGCCAGATGGACCCTTTAAGTCTTTAAAAAGAGCAAATACAGAACTACTTAAAGTATTGGGCTGAAGTTTTGAATATACAAAATGAAACATGAAAGAAATGCTGGTTCATTGGATAGTTGTGAATTAGAAGAAATGCTCATGTTTGCATCCGCAGTAATACTAGCAAGTTTGGTGAGACCTCTAGTGATCTTTCGAGTAACTGTAACTGCCGGTCACAGTCACAAACTGCCTGTGACATGAGATGTTTGCACAATCAAATTTGAGATTTGGAAAAGGCATAGAGCACGTGTTGGTGCAGATTGTGTTCCACAGCTCACTGGAAGGCTTTTTATTAAATACAACAGTATTCTGTGATACTTGGCTGAAGGCAGGATATAAAAAATTTCGTACATAATATTAGATCATAGTTCTAGGATTATTTATATTGTATCTATAGCTTCAGTTTATAGATGGGAATAGAGAACTAAAATTAAGTCATTTCTGTATGTAAATGAGTTGTAGCTTAAAATGTGTTTCAGCTGGTTTAACCAAATATTTAAGATACCCCTCTCAACTTAGTATTTGTAACCTATTTCAGTGTACATCACTTTATATTTGAGCTTTTCAGAGTCCCCCTGTTCTTCTTAAAGATGTTCCATATATGGGAGGAAAGTTGAAATTAGTACTTAAACTGTTTCAGCTGCAATAGCTACATGGTGCTTTCTGTGAAAATTAGGAAGGGTTTTAGGCAACTATAGAATCCTTAAAGGGCTTGAAAAATCATGTGGTTCTTTCTTAGTGTAAATTTCATGGCTTAATAAAATCATTTCAAGCACAAAGAAGCTAACTTCTTTGATAGATAATATTCCTGTGGGTCACTACCATGCTTTCTCAGGGATTTTACACCAGAGTATTTTCAAGTCACATTGATCCCTAAAAGCTGTAAAGAAAATGAAGCTGTTGCATCTCTCAAGGTATGGTGAGGGAGAGGGAAAGAAGATAGTTTATGTACTGCTTGACTAAACATTGCTTTCTTTCTAGTATTCTGATCTCATTCAAAGGAGTTGTAATAAATCAACTGTTAACAACAATGAGGCTTGTTACAGTATATCAATTAGTGTTTGAACACAACCTTTTAAAATAGTTCTTTTTCAGTGAGCTACTTAGACTCTTCAGCTACTAATATACTAAATTTATATTAATTAAGCTTCTGTTCTATACCTCTTTTGATACTGAGGTGTTTTTAATCTCTACACAGAGCAAAGTGATACTCCATCTTTTAACTTCATTGAAATAGTTTTTTTAAGTAAAAAAAAAATCTAGAATGTGTATTATAAATAATTTCCGTGTTTCTGCAGAATTCCAGCCAGAAGTGATATTGATAAAATAAATAAGTCCCCAACTCTGAATAATAAGCAAAGCAACAGGTATGAGTTTTGGAAACTTTATCATTAAATCATTATGTATCATCATTTATCATGTCATTTATGATGCGTTGTCATCTAAGTATTATATATTATCATAACTTTTCATTACATGTGCATACCAAGAATATATTGAGAAATTATTTGTATGGCATATGACCAAACAGTAGGCTTAATTTCACCACCTGACATCTGGAATGCAGATGTTTTTATCTAGATTATCATAGACACTTTTTATAGTCAGTGAGGAGAAAAAGGGTCTTTTGGAGGACAATTCATCTCATGTCTCTCAGATATTTTCTTTGGAATAAGAGCAATTTTCCTTAAAAATATCTCCATATAGATTAAAAGAGAGACTACTACTCAGATTACACATTTACTCAGCACAGCAATTATTCAAGAAACACAGTATTTTAAATACAAAAGAGAAAGTATAAGACTTTTGAAAACAGTTCAGTGTTGTGGGTGTGTTCTAGAGCTCTACATTTCTCTGCACGAATTCTATCAAATACAATATGTGTTTCTGAGGACAGACTATATGAAAAAATTCTAATTAAGATTTTCAGTGGAAATGCCATTAATCATTGCCAATGGAAAACTTGAGTACCAAAACATAAAAAATACTTTTTTGATAGACAGGCTAACTGATTTTTCCAGTTGAAAGCTTTTCTTTTGTCAGAAGGTCAGGCTTTTGTTTAAAACAGGTTGAAACCAATTCTTAATTTAAAATAAGCACAAAATTTTTGACATGTTATTAAAAAGTTGTTATGAGTCAGAGATGGCCGCTTTGTATATGTAATATGACTATACAACACTGAAAATTTATTTTCGAAAGAACTTACAGCTCTTACCTAATTGAAATTTTTATTTAAAAAATGAAAGTCAGAAGAGTCCAGCCACCATGCTTATAAATGTAAAGGGACAAATACATCACTTCGTGCCTTCATCAATGTCAGTAGTGTTCTATCAGTAATAAATTACACTGAATATAGTTGCTAGTGAAGACTGAGCACAGCAATTAAATCATCTTGCAAAGCATTGCGATATTAGTCTGAAAAGCAAATGAGCATCTCTGGCATTTAAAGTTCAAGTGAGGTCATTCTTTTAAATTATGATTTTGCACCATTATGTTGTAAATCATGGTGATGATGACACATGAAACATCATATAAATTGGATTTTATATTATTTTGTCCGGATACAATTTTTTAATAGAGCTACCATGAATTCAGAGGTGGGACTTAAGTGAGGCTTAAACGGTATATGCTTTTTCCTGCCAGAGAGCTATAAAATGATTTGTAAAGCTCTGCTCTTCAGTTATTCTCATTACATTAAGAATTGCAGAGGACAAGACAATAACTTTTTGACAAACTTTATGAGAAAAATCACTGGCTTGGAATTTATTTAGTTAGGAGTAAGAAGAACACTGGCTCCTTTTACAGGCATATCATAAAATAGAGCAGCATTGTCATAATTGAATAAAACCCATAAAATTTAAGTATGAAAAATAAGAATATTAATATTTTGGTGGTTGGAGACTGAAGTGTAGGTACAGAAGTAAAGATTTTGAGAAGTCAGAAATTACTTTGGATATCATGTAAAAACACATCTGTTCTCTAAGCTTCGGAATCCCTTAAGGTGTCCCAAATCTTGTATCCTTTGAGGTATTTCCAAAATTTCATTTGGCATATATAAACATAGTCTTACCAGTTACCATACAGAGTTGTATCATTCTGATAGTAGAAACATGATTTCCTAGCATTGTTTTTTTTTCATTTAAAATTATACACTTATTGAAGATAAATTAATTAAGTATATTTCCTCAACAGACAATCTTGGACTCCTAATGCAGCATCCACAAACACTGCTGCAACTTCTCCAATCAAGAAAAAAAGGTATTCATTGCCACCATTGCTTGGTTGCAGAGGATATATAGCACTCTATTAAACCTCAGTAATGTATCACAATTACATAAAAAATATTACTAACTTTCTCCTCTAGCGCACTCTAACTGCAGCAAGCTTCAAGAATTAAACTTTCACATGCTCTGGCTTTCTGCATGGCAGTACTGTGTTGCAAGGTTGTCTCTGTAGAGCCAGTCTTGTGAGTCCAGTGGACATCGCACAACAGATGCTAACTCTTTGCTGCAGCCCCTAACTCAGCTAGCATATGCCTTTTCAGTGTCTAAATTTAAGGCATTGTAGCTCACTGTAGTTGCAGGCAGCTGAAATCTCTGATGCCAAAGTTGACCCTGTGCTGTTGTAGTATGTATGAACCACATGATTTTCTTCATGATATTGGCTTTAAAATTTTGGATTTCAGATAGTATTATCTAGGCAAGAATAAAAACAAGGTAGAACACAAAGAACTACATTTTTAATTTAAGATGTACCGCTGGTGATAGCCATATTTTTATGCACACTTCCCAGCTGCAAATTCTGTCTGTTTGTGATTTTCTCTTCCGTATTTCATGCAGAAAAATTGTGATCAGTAGAATTATGAAAGTAGAAATTAAAATGTCAGCGTTTTTGTATTAACAGCCCTGCTTGTTTGGTGGAAGTTTATGGTGTTTTCAGCCCAGCAGTTTTCTTCAGGCTCTTTGAAGATGTGAAAGACCATCACTGAATTGCCCTGTTTGTGGTGCAGTTGCTTTTTCCTCACAAACAATTGCTGGATTGATAGCTTTGAGAGAAAGCAAAAAAAAAAAAAAAAGAACTGAAAGTGCTTGTGATGTTTACGTGACCTCTAATACCAGCCTGAATGTGCTGATACTTGACACCCTTTCCTTTGTGAATTTTATCTGGTTGCCCTTCTCATGAATGATCCATTTATTTGTGCCATTCAGGTTGCATTAAAGACCACCTAGAGTCAAAGAATACATTTTTCACAAGAATAGTTAAAATTACTATACGATTTTCAATTCTTTTCAGTTTTCTGGGAAAAAAAAAGGGTCTAAAAAATATCTGCATGCAGTATTTCAAAATACCAATAATTTAAGAAAAGTTCCAGGTATTTCTACATCACTTCCAATATTTTAACGTTCATATGCTGTTCAGTCTGATAGCATTAAACTAATACTTAAAAACTTATTTGTTAACACTAACAGGCAATCTTGGATGCCTCCCCCAGTTTTGAGTAATAAGACCACGACAGAAACAGTGGAAACCAAACAGTAAGTACTGATGATCACTATTTATTTCCTAATTCTTGTCTAGAGCTTATTATGGGAGTAAGCCGAAAGAGCAATTCTTTGAGGGACTGAGTTTGATGAGTTTTCGGAAGAGAAAACATCCCATGCTGAAATATTTGTTTGGGCTCTTAGCAGCTTGATGCCCAGCATTGACTGAGGTCTGAGTATATGACGTGCCAGTGACTTGAGGTTACATAAGTGCTTCCAAAATTTTTCTACAATGCTTGTGTGCTTTCTTCATGGCTTTTCTTTGGACTGTTCGATTTAGCTCTCCACAAGACAAATGTGCTAGAGAGTAACTAGACACAAAAGCAGGAATCTATTGGTGTCATTTGGTCTGACAGCCAGGGGCTAACCCTGATCGCTTTTGGTTAACAGTGTGGACAAATCCTCAAGACCTGCTTAGTCATCTCTCAGTAAGGAGTCCAAGAAACTGGAAGAAAAGCTCAGGCTAAAGTTACTTAAAGATGAATGTTTAGTGTTTATTTCTGAAGTTGTCATTGCTTTCTGGCAGATCAGAAAGAGAACAGAGAACATTTCTTGTGCTCTCATCTAAAAGCAGAATATGGATGGTTCACAATACTAATGAATAAACTTTCATTATATTCTTTGCTTAGGTACCCTATTGGCTGCAGCATGGTCTTGTGCTTCCTTAGTTTTAATCTGGGAAACTTCAAACATGAGTCTCATGCATATCAATGATGAAAATTGAATGAAACAGAAATGAATGGATACATTGTCATGCTAGGTATAATTCCTTGGTAGACCATTGCCTAGGGAGTTTATGGAAACTCTGTCACTGGAAGCTTTAAGATGAATCCTTAAAACAAGTTTAGCAATTATTTTTAATCTTATTCTGTGTTTACTACTGTCCATCCATTAGGCCAAGATTCAAAGTCACTCACCACGCAGCAGAAAGATAGCTCCTAGATGCTAATGTTTATTCTCTTTTAAGTCAGTGCTTACTAGATATTTTTAATATGTCAACTGTGAGGAATTTAACTGGCTTCATTTCAATATCTCACTATGATCATGGTAATTTTGAAAGCATAGGATAGGATGCATACTCCATATGGCATCTGCCCAGCTTCCAACAAAAAGCTGCGATTTCTGTGTCCTTCTCAACGCTAATTATCCAGTTACTCCTCTACTCTCATAGTTCAGACAAGACTGAAATACAGGCATATTCTTTCTGGAGCTTTCATGCCCTTCCTGGATCATATAACAACAATATTCAAAGGACAATTGGTTAAACAGTGATAGGCATTGAAAGATTAATTTTTTTGTCTTTTAAAAGTGCTTTGAAGATGTGAAAGCTATGTCAAATTGTGAATATTACTATAACTAATAATAGCCACCAAAGGGAAGCCTTTTACTTGCCTGTGAGTTTCAGGAAATAAAGTGCTATGCATAGATGCTAATAACTACAGTTTTAAAAGGTCAGTATCAGTCTTAAAGATGGGTGGAGCAAAGAGCTGTGTCTTTTCTTCAAATATGAGAATGGCTGATTGTTCTGCTCTCCTCAGTTCAGCAATCATGGATTTGTGGGGGTTTTTTGGTCAGGGTTTATTATTTACTGACCTTTTCTGATTCTGAGACCTGATTCGAGCCTTCTATAGTCAAATGTGACATGTAAACTTCTAGAGTGCTTTGCCTCGGTTCCAAGCTGATTAAGCACTCTTTAAGGAATACTTAAAAAATAATGTCAGTTGAAGTTAAGAATATAAGCAGCTCACTGTAGTTGAGTTTTTGGTTGTGAATTGTGTGCTGAAAACAAAACACTATTGATCAGAATGATTGACTGGAGAATGTTAATTGAAGATTACTGTCTTAGAAACATATAAAGAATATGATTAGAATTTAGTATTACACTAATTGAGTTAAACATGTTATGGTCCACATTAAGAAACAAAGAAAAACACTGCCTTGGAAGGAGGAAAAGTAAAATTAATTGCTGTTGATTGATCTAAGATCTTGCAAAGTGCTTTGATATTAGCATTTTGCTACTTGGTTTCTGAAATGTTTACTCTTTTCTTTCTCTAGGACCACTTCAGAAAATTCAGAGGCTGCAACAACGTATGTCTTGTTTACTTTGCTTCTTAGTAGATTTAGAAATGCAACATACTCCCATGCATAAACCTTGATTATTATTTTACATTATTTATAATACAAAGACTGTATAATTTACCTGGGAAGGTTCCTCCATAGTCAATGTCACAGAAGCGCATGAAGAAGACTTCCTTCATTGCAGAAATGTAATTATTTTCACACAGCTTAGAAGACTGCGTTGGAAATTTATTCAAATTGAAAATATTTTTCAATTTACCAACTGTAACTGCATAAAAAATTAAAAACTGCTTCATGATTTTAGTTATATGCTCTAAAGAGAGAGTGAAAAAGAAAGCGTGAGCAAAGCGAAGAAAAAGAAAGTGGTAAATAAAAAAGCCATGCACATGCGAAGGCCTGTAATAAAAGGGATTAGCATAAGATGAATTGACATAAAGTACTCTAAACTTACTCGAGTGTCTGCAAAGGTTGCTCTAATTTTAGAAAACGAATTTATTAAATTAATTCGTTAATTAAATATACATTTTGTGTGGTCTAAATTAGGAAAAGATTACTTAACCAACCTGTAATTTCATGGCTTGTAATTAAGACAGCTACACATAGTCATATTTTAGTCATAGTTTAGTTGCCATTCTAATAGGAAGATTCTCTAAAGAAGCATGTAACTTTTATTTCCAACTGTATCAGCCACCTTCTTTCTTTCTTATAATTACTCATAATTTTAGTATTCCTGTAGTGACCAATCTGATGATTCACACGAATAAGTAAAAATAGGAAAGTGTAATTGCTTACTTATTTAGTTTTTAAAAAAATCAGTACTTTGCTAAATAGTTAAAATGTTAGTCTTTACTAAATAAGTAAAATTTATTTAGTAGGTAGTAGAAAAGTATTTAAAAGTTCCTTTGTTACTAAAATAATTTTGAAAGAGTAAAGAAACTCCACTTTATTCTATATCCATACTAGCAAAACAGCTAGTCTTGGAATACTAATTTTTCAAAAGGCTCAGTGGATGCAGTAATCTAGTGAACTAAAGCATTACATAGCTGTTTATATATTTTTAATATATAATTCTTTGTATATATTATATATATATACATATATACAAAATTAAAGAAAAAATCCGAAAAAAATTTCTCAGAGAAAACACAAACTCACTGTGATCACACTTGTAATATCTAAAATGGTAACCCATTTAAACTATATGATCCAAATGTCTTCTTTTGGGTTAAGTATGTTTTCACCATTCTTGTTGCAGGGCTGCCTTTTCACTAGAACAGGTGACCCCTCAGAAATCGAAGACTGATGTGGATGATCAAGCTGCAGCAAGGTAACAGAAGTAGATATGATCAAAGCAATGTTTTGATAAACATTGATAAATGTGATAAATGTAATATTAAGTACTCAATTTGCTTGATTCCCGTATTTGATAGGTCATTCAGACATGATGTGTGATAAATGAAGCATTTATCTAGTTCTAACAATTGGCCTAGAAGTACAAACTTTGAGTTCCATCTCATTGACTTGCTAAGTTATCTCAGATGTTTCATTTTTTATTCTTTCAGCTGGTCTAGCCCACACCTTAGAGCCGTGTATTGTTGCTGCAAATGTTTGGAAACAGATGAATTGCAGTAGTATGGATTATATAGGATGTTTTCTTTGGTCTTCAATAAATTGTGGGAGAGATAATATCTACACATTACTATGGATATAAAAAAAAACTCAGCTAGTGCATTGCAGTGTTAACATTTTAAATAGTAAAACCCCAACATATACCATTCAGTGTGACAAAATTACTACATTTAAACAGATGGACTTCTTCTTGTGGTATGAGTCAGATGGCATATGTACTAATATATCTTGGAAAGTGTACAGAATACCATGAAAACTGTTGGTGGAAAAGACACAGATTTTTTTTTACTGAAATTCCAGCAAATTTTAAGTTTCTCTACTGATGGAGATGCTACATTTTTCAAAACAATCAGCAACAACGATGCAAAAAATTTGACTCTGTGACCTTGATCAGAATAAAATGCCTGAATACGCAATTAAAAATGAATGATTAAGAAACAGATTTGTAGATATGCACTGAAAATGACAGTAACTCATTTTGCAGTTTCTACCTGGAGGTATTAAATGGTACAGCTTTCTGAGGTCTGAAGCCACAGTCTTCTTTTGAATCATGCCCCTCTCCCCCAAAGCCCCCAATATGTAAAAAAAGTACAAAATAATTAAGAAAAACATCCAGAAGATGTCTGACACTGTAATCCCTAGGAAAAATGCACTGTTTCAGTGAAACATTTTCCTGTCAACAAATGGGGGAGATACTAGAGAATTAAATACGCCACTGTATTAACTAGGGAAGTCACAACCATTTTTCACTCCTAAAGGCTTGTTTAAGTCTTACTTAATCCCCACCCTCAATCAGTTCGCATTCATCATCCCCCGGTGGCTCTCATTACCATACCAAGCTTTGTATTCCCATCCCTCCATTCGTGGAGAGCTGGAGGAATATTTTACTGGTCTGCAAGTTTCTATGGTAACATTGCACTGCTACAGCTATTTGTGTCAGTATATAAACTATAAGTAGCCTGAAATCTTAGTGGGCAAAATTCAGCCCTCTCTACTCCTGCTGTAATTCCTTTACATTTGGCTGGTTCTTCAGATGTCATCCATCTGCTGCTGATGTGTTAGCTTCACAAAACTACAGATTTTTGTTAAATTTGTGCTAACTGAAAATGTATTAAGCAGCTGGCAGCAGAAGTGCCTTTTTTTCTATTAAAGATATCATATAGATGCTACACTTTGGGCACAAATGATTGTGCCACACAAGGGAAGTAAACAGTTACACAAGAAGTATTTTATTTATCATTTATTAGAATAAAATTTTATCTTATATTATTTAATTTCCTGCATTTTTACTTAGAAAGGAAAGATTTTCAGGTCATGCTTTTTAAAGTCATACTTAATTGATTGTTTGTCTTTTGCTCAGGATTCTGATAGGGATGCTAAAGGAATAATGAATAAATTTCAATATAAAATAAGTGGAAAATGGCAACTGGTTTTCTAGAAAACTGCTCATGAATGCAAGGAAAATCTTTTGGAAGGGATTTACCTGAAAACGATGTCAGATACTATCTCTTTTGGCTAAAAGTGTAAGTTTCATTGTCTACCGTTCCATGCAAGGCCTAGCACTGGTTCTGTTAGCATAAAAAGCAATTTTTGTATTGTTTTCAAGTACAACAGTGAGATGTGGCATCCATCTTAAAACATAGATTATACAATAATATATATAGCATATCTGGAGGCATGGACATACGGACCTCAACCTTTTGGATGTGATTAACAGAATGGAATAGGCATCTCGTGATTAGTTAGGGGATCTGTAGGTAGCCTAGACAATGTAAGTAGGCTAGAATCCAGAAAAAGTAAAGATAACCACTGTCTAATGATTGTGTATTTTTCAGAGCATAACAGGTTGTCCTCAAATCAGGTCCCTTGGTACCTCACAAATGCAGCAGCATATGAGCACTGCATCGGATACATAAAGAGACATTTTTCTGATTTACTCAATGGGTCTTTTATTCATTGCTTATCAAGTTCTTTTTGTGTTTTATTTCCCTTTCAGTGGAGATGCCAGATTGTCACTTTGTGGGTTTTTTCATTACAGAAATGTAGCAACCATTAAATGCAGGTGTTTAAAAAAATGCATTTTTAAAAGAACCATGTTCTGTGGGCAATCCTGTTAAACCACTTCAAACATCCCGAGGGTGTTTAACAGAGCTTTAGTCAACCTTCCATTAATGATTATAGTTAGGATGCAAAAATGTGTATTTCTATAAGTTGCTTTTATATGGGGTTCACTTGTATTCAACTACGCTCCTTCCTTCCATACGACCTATACAGAAAGTAACAGTATTTGCCACACTGGGCCACGTTTACCAGTGCAGTAACAAAGGTATTACCACCAAAAGATGCAGAGTAATCAAAAAGCCATATTTCCAAGAGTTCGTAAGTTGTAGAATTAATAAATTTATCCTTTATTTTGCATAGATATATCAGAATTTGTGTTGGACATTCTTGAGGAGAAGCTTTTGGGGTGATAGCAACAGGGGCTATATAAGAACATAGAGAGAGATCTCACTCCACTCTTAAAACAACCATAGTGAGATTGGTACCAGTGAATGACTGCTAGTCTTTCGGGGCACAGGGCATATTGTAGAAACTTTTACATGAGCAAGTCTTTTTGATCTGCTATCAACAGCAGAGTTAGGCTAAGGAAAATATTTCAGCTGCGTATTTGTATGTATGTGGGTGGGGGAGGCAATTTCTAGGGAACAGAAACAAGGAACTAGAGTATTTTTCTGACATAATTAAGCAGACACTATATTCTTGGCTCTTTAGCATTTTATTTTCTACACACTGAATATTAGTTCTGCACAGGGTTTTCCTATACTGTGCAGGGTAATGCACTATAATTACTCCTGCCAGATAGTAGCAAATTTAGGCAATGCTGTAAATATGTTTATATTTTGCTCCTTTTTAATGATATTCTTATTTGACGCAAAATGTGTTGCCAGTTTTAATTATAAAAGACTGAAAGAACAACACATTAATTACGTGTGCTTAAACTAGCTCTTGAAACAAGGACACGCTTTTCTGTGTCTATCAACATTTGGGAACTTTAAAGAGTGGAAAAAATAAGATACAGATTTTTTTTTCAAATTATTTAAAAAATACGAGTACATTGATATTGACTTGGAATTTTCCAAACCAACGGAATTAAAACCGTCATGTCAGGTCTCCTAAATGAACATTTATTGGTAAAACTTCTATTGTTCTAGAGCTGTAAAGAGCACAAAACTGACAGAACATGTAGGTGCATTTTGAGGCATTGGCCAATTATGTGTTCCAAATACATGAAAAAGATAAATCCGGTCTATGGAGAGAGACAGAAAATTTCAAACAGCCACTAGAAACATCCTAGAGAATTATCTTAGGTTGGACTAAAGTTTAGAAGGACAAAATTAGAAGGCATGACTCCCACGCTGGGTATTCCTGTGTGACTTTTCCATTGTGATGTCTTTCTTATTTGCCTTCATTTTTTAGTGAGACCTTCAGGAGACCTCTAAAGTGTTCTGGAGGACACTTGTGTCGCTCCAAAAATGTTGGAAGCAAGGATACTAAAACAGAACTCACATAGGCATACCCATAACTCAGTAGTCGTAACTGCAGCCAGATCTTGCTTTGGCTACAATGACAGTTTTTCTTTATGGTAAAGTGAAGTGGCTTTACACTTTCTAAATTGGTTTTGATAGTACAAATTAATACAGTCGTTTTTGACGATACATTTTTGCATTTCAGCAGAAGGCACTTCCTAATGACAGGGACCTTCTGCCTCTCAACTCTGGCAGATTTGGCATTCAGTGGAATGCTGGTTTACAGTTTTTCTCCATGTTGATATGAATTATTTGCTGTAGCAGAGCTTATGTGAAGAGATCCAAGTTCACTAATCCTAACTGAAAAGTTAATAGAGTGTTTACAGGGTGATACATGTCCTCCAAGCAAAACTGAGTAAGTTGTTGTCATTTTTTCAGTGATCTTTCCCAGTCTACCTTCTATAAAACATTCTGATCAACAGCTTCTTCCTCTGTATTTAACTCCAAAATCCTCTGGGCTAAGCATTACACTAGTTTTGGCACAGTATAAATTGGCTTTCACAGTTGACTGCAGACCTCTTCTGTTCCCTCATCCTCAGCTGTTATTGATGAAATGTCTGAATGAGGGCTCCTGGCACTGATTAGTGAGCATAGCAGTGTGGAAGGAAATGCATCCTCCTTCAGAATAAATGCCACCCTTTTCTCAAAGAACTTCTTTATTTATTCTCAGTTACACATGAAAAAGTCTGATACAGGGACAGTAAGGCAGCCATGGATGGCAGATCAAAATTCAGCTGGCCCATGATGTTAAGCTTTATCTAGTGAGATGCCTGACATACTTAATATATTCTAGACCAACTCTTTTAATTCATATTTGAAAGATCCAGTTGGCAATTGGTTTTTGTCATCTTCTGTGCTGACATGACTAGGTCAGAAATGCCCTTAAGGTTTTAGCCAGATTTGGTTAGTGTGTTCTTTGCATCATGTCAGAAGAAGAAGTGTTAGTCAGAATGCTTTGTAGGTCAACTGGGAGAGATCACTGAAGAAAGGACAACAGATGCAACTTCTTTTGTATCACATTTAGAAATATTATACCATCTATTAGACATAGGGAGTCACCTCAGTAGTTTTTATAATCCTGCTCAGGGCTTTTAACAGAAACAGATGGAGA